GGCTTATGCCTAGCAGTGACTAGTCTCGCTGCTGTTGCACAGGCTGGGGTGCAGTGGTGCGATCTTGTCTCACTGCAACCTCTACCTCTTGGGTTCAAGTGATTTTCCTTCCTCAGCCTCCTGAGTAGCTGGGATTACAGGCATGTGCCACCACGCCTGGCAATTTTTTTTTTTTTTTGTAGCGATGGGGTTTTGCCACGTTGGCCAGGCTAGTCTTGAACTCCTGGTCTCAGGTGATCCACCCACCTTGGCCTCTCAAAGCGATGGGATTACAGGTGTGAACCACCGCACCCAGCCAAAAGTAATATGTACTTATGATGAACACATTCAATGTTACAGACACACATTAGGTAAAAAGAGACAGCTATACTTTGAAGCCCTCCCACTCTAATGGCCACTAGGGACAGGAAGGCTTAATGTCATTGTGAGTCATTTTCAGAAGTGAGATAGGCTGGGTGCAGTGGCTCATATCTGTAATCTCAGCATTTTGGGAGGCCGACGCAGGAAGACTGCTTGAGGCCAGGAGTTCGAGACCAGCCTGGGCAACATATAGAGACCCTGTCATTACAAAATACTAAAAAATTAGCTGGGAGTGGTGGTGTACACCTATAGTCCCAGCTACTTGGGAGGCTGAAATGGGAGGACTGCTTGAACCCTGGGGTGTTGCGGCTGTAGTGAGCTCTGATTATGTCACTGCCCTCCAATCTGGGCAACAGGGTGAGATCCTGTCCAAAAAAAATTGTTTTTTTGAGATCTCTAACTTATTTTATGTAATATTTTATTGTTTAGATATGCTCTAACTTATATATCCCCAAAGGACATGCATTTGGGTCATTTTCAGTCTTCTGCTATGGTAAGTAACACTTCAGCAAATAAATATTTGCTCATCACTGTCTCTCTTATATAAACTCCTGGGCATGGTATTTCAGGTCAAAGAATGTACTTGTTCTGAAATGTAATGGATTTTGCTAAATTGCTACTCACAAAAGATACAGCCACTTACATTGCCCCAAAGCCTACATTTTTCTCACTCTAGTTTGGTCACATTGTTCTGCTTGGATACTCTCTCTCCTGTATCTCATATTTGGAGATATCCTAACCGTGGCCTCCTGGGGACACTGTGCAGTTTCCTTTCTGCTCATACTGCTGCCACCACCCCTAATCCAAACAACCTCTCATATCTGTGTATGTCAGAGGCCTTTCCCCACAGCATCTCATTTTATCCTATCTTGTGGGGTAGGAAGGAAAACTGTATCAGGGCCATCTGGGATGTGAGGCCTGGAGGTCAAACAACTGGCCCAGGGTCCTAGACGGAAGGAGAGCCTCCTTGCTCAGCATCTTTCCCACCATACGCCATTGTCCAAAGATGGCCTCTTAAGTCTGGGAAGGGCAGTGCCAAGGAGGTTTATCAGTTGGAGTGATGCCGGTAACACACTAACAGTTACTGAAAACACTGATGTGGGCCAGAGGCTGGGGACTGAGAGGTGAACAAAACCTTCTTCCTGCCTCCAGGGAGCATGTTATGGGAGTGCAACGTGGGGCAGTTCCCAGGCAGCATGGGGAGCCACCTACATGAGATGAGATTGGAAGGATGAGTGTGGGTTGGCCAGACTAAGGAAAGTCATTTCAGGCATGGACAGTGTGGGCCTGCAGATGGGGGCTGGCCCATAAGCCTGGGTCTTACATGCAGTCTTGTCTTGCCAGTTAAGGTAGACATCTGTGGTTTGCCCTACCCCACATCCATTCTCCCTTCTGGGCACAGCACCTGGACCTTCCTTTGGGTAACTAGCCCATCCCCATCTTCCTGGCTCCAGGATGGGCATGTGACTGCAGGTGACCAATTGCAGTGTTGTTCACGGATGGGACCAGCAGGCCAATGAGACTCAACCTGAGGACTTATATGAGACGATGGGAAGAGGGACTCTCTTTCCATGGGCTGCTGAAGATCTCCATGAGAAAAAGCCCACCTGAAGGGAAGCCCACTCAGATACAAGTAGGGCCTAGGCATTGAGAGAGACCTAGCCTGAGTGAGATGGCTCAGTCCCTGCATCTGGCCCGGCCTTAGGGTCTACCCTGGAATTTCAATGGTGTGAGCCTATCAATTCTGGTTTTTGCTTAAATCAGATTGACTATGGTTTTGGGTATCTGTAAGCAAGAATCCAGACAAATGCAATGGATAAGAGGAAAAGGGGGAAGGAGAGATCAGCAGGGCCAGCTCATGAAGCTAGTTGGAGCCTAGGCTATGGAGTTAAAGACTTGTCCAACCACTAGAACTGGGAAGATTCTGATTTCCACATGAGATCTTTGCTCTGCTGAGAGAGACAGAGAGGAAAGGAGGTAGGGAAAGGGAAAGTCAATGGCTCTTCCAGAAATTTCAGAGCTGTTGGAACACTTTTTGGGGGGTTTTCTCATCAGGATAGACAGTCTAGTCCGGAATCAGCCCTCAGCCCTCAGCCCTGACAGTACATGTCAATCGATCTTAATTTCTGAAAATACGCTCATGCCTTTCAGACTGGGCTCTTCTCTCTGTCACCAAGAAAAGGGATCTTTGCAGAGATGAATCAGAGGGAATTTGGTCCTTTGTAAATGCCTGGCTCTGGCTGAAAGGGAACACCGCATTCCAGCAGGGAGCTGCCAGGGGTGATTGGGCTTGCCTGCTCCCCTCCGCCCTGCAGGCAGCCTTTCCATGGGGGCTTGGGAGACACTGCCCTGGCAGATGGGCTGTTGCTGGGCTCCAGGAACTCTCCTTCTCCAAGCCAGGAGAGAGAAAGCTGAAGGAGAAAACCTCAGGAGCCTCCTCATTACACCATCTCATTTCCTCTGGAGAGTGGCGGACATAATTGGATCAAATGGAAATGTAAGCCAGCCTCCTTTCCCTTCCCAGATGAGAGACTTCGAATATGGCTTCATTACCAAGTCTATTGTAAATAACTGTGTGGAGAAAAATGCCATTTGTTCTGCCATAATTGCCTGATAAGCATCAGTAGATGGGTCTTTGAAACACACAGAATGAAATCATTTTGGGTTGCTTTAGAAATTCCTTTGTGAAAATCTTCCTCCATTCACTGTTCTCCATAGAGGGGTTTTCTGAAGGGGGTCTTCTAGACCAAGGAACCAGTTAGGAGCTTGGAGGCTGATTCTGGCCAGGGATACACTTGCTTGGAGTATTCAGCCAATATTTATTAACTGCTGTCAACTAAAGAAAAAAAATGAAGCTTTTAAAGGATTAAAGTTGGTTTTATTTAGAAGTCTTATCGAGGACGATAGACCAAGGCCTGTAGCCTGGGAAGAGGCTTTTAGAAAGGTTCTCTCAGACTCCTCCAATGTAGTATTTTAGTTTATACATGGGTGGTGAAGATTTAGTATGTGTAAAATTACATTAAGGTTTGGGTGTTAGAGTACATCTGGTTATAGATTACAGAAGCATAGTTACTAATCTTGTCAAATGTTATGAGTAGAGAAAGGCAAGGACTAGTGTCATTTATCTTTGATGCAGTGTAGTGACTCAGGCGAGAGACATGGCATTCTATCCTATTTTGCCTTTAAAACATCTTTCCAGAGAGCTGCATGGTGTCACAAAGTCAGGGGCTTTGTGAAATTCTCCTGGCAAAGGGAAATGGGCAAACGTGGTCTCTTACATTTGCTACTTCGTCTCATAAAGTTTTTGGTCATAAAGTAATTGTCTGCTGTGTTGATAAGACTAATGTTGATTGTCTTCTGTAATTAGGAGGTCTCTTGTTTAGGAAGGTTGGTGGCTGGTAATTTTTAGTTGTAGCTGTATCAGGTCCAGTGTGTTTTTTTAGCCTTTTCTTGGAAAGTACGTTTTGGATTGAATTTAGTTCTCATTATTATGATGTGGGGTTTTTTTTGGGATGGTGTCTATTTTTGTATTTAATATAATATTTTAATATGATTATTAAGAGGATGTTATAGATTCTATATAGTAATATATACTTAGTAATAAAATCAGTTGTAGATTGGAAAAATATGATCTTTAATAACACTGGAATACATATTTGTATATTTTTAATTGTATTGCTTTTTATACTTATATTTATTAGAGTCTTTATGAAAGGCAATGCTGGACTAGAGTTTATTGTAAATGCCTTTAGAGAAGAATTTAGAATAATAATTCTAAATAAGTGACAAAAATAGAATAATCACAGTTAAAATTTGCTAAAAGTTTTTAATTGATAAGGATCAATTAAAACTAGTAAACTAGTAACTCCTTTACCACTCCTGTCAGAAAGCTTCTCAAGCCCGTGAGTTGGCCAAGTAGGTTACGGTAAATATTTACTCACTGAAACTTTAACAATTTCTACCAATCATTAATTGCTGGTCACATTCCCAGGTTGTGTGTTAAGCACTTTCTAGACATTATCTCATTTAATCTTCACGATAGCTCTGTAAGCTAGGTAGTGTTATGATTCCCTGATTTCAGATGAGGAAAGAAAGCTCAGGGACGTCATCTAACTTGCCCAAAGTCAGAAAGCTACTGATGATGGGGATGGGATCTGAATCCAGGCCTTTGTGACTTTACAAATGGAGCTTGTGTTCACTGGTCTTTGTCAAACTCCTAGAGCAACAGATACAAAAGGGAAAACTTGAGAAGTGACTGAGAGCACTCCTCTAGGCCTACATGTCCTGTTTGGCCTTCTTAGCTTCTCTGGCCCACTGCTGATTTGCTGGACATCTCAATCTCAGACCCACCATCTTAAGAAGCAAGACCTTATTCCAACGTCTTAAGAAGACACCAGGCAAATGACAGAGCTGTGGTGAAGACCATCCTTTGGCTGCTGGAGGGTATTCCCTTGACCTCCCACACCTCTCATACAACAAGGAATGGCCCATGACCCCTGTCTTCTTCACCCGATGGGCAGAGGGGCTACAGAACCCTGAGGCCTTCAGTCTTTCCAAGCTCAGGCAGAAGCTCAGGCACATTCTGAGACAGGCACCCAGGAAGCTGTGCCAAGAAGGGGGCGTCTGGAGGGCTGGCTCACCTTGAATGAGATTTCATATTGCTCCCCTCCCCAGATCTCCAAGCCAGGGTCATAACCGCCCAGCTCCCAGAACCACTTCCGATCCACAGCGAACAGTCCACCAGCCATCACGGGAGACCTGTCAAGAGAAGAACATGGTGTGAAGGTGCAGATGTCCTGGCCGTGTGCTCTCATGCAGCCTGATAACACCATTCCCCCAGTGATGGTGTTCCATGCTGCTCCCTGAACGCAGCCCAAGTGTCTTCTAGGGAATCCAAGGCCCTTCTTGCCTACAACTTCCCTGCATAAGAGCTACCTTTTAACCAAATGGGACCTGAAGTTCCTTTACACAATTAACACCTAAGAATACTTGTGAATGAAATCACAGTACTTTGTCCACATGGGCCCTGCATCATAAATATGTACATATTAGTCTTCCCACTAGTTAAATTGTCCAAATTGGGTCTCTCCAAGCCTGTCTATGTTGTAGAATCTCTTAGAGAGATGAAAAACATACAGCTTGCTGGGCCCCACCTCAGACCTGCTGAAATAATCCCTGTGGGAGGGAGCCTAGGACTGTGTTTTTGAACATGCTCCTTTGACGATTATTACTCAGTAGGCCTGGCATGGATGTTTGTTCTGCTGTGGTGTTTACAGAAGAAGTCACCATCTCTGTCCTTTCAGTTAAACTAGGAGATAAGATTAACTCCATTCATTCATTCTCTCATGAGTCTGTTCATCACGTGCCAGCTGTGAAGCAGGTGCTAGAAGAATCTCAAGGTAAATCAGAGTCCTTCAGGGACAGCCCCCTCAGGACAGAGGGGGCATAAGGGACCCTGGGAGGTACACAGACAGAGTATTACAGGAATCTGAAAAGACTGTGTCTGTTTCCAGGTTTTGGGGTGAGGAGGGTGGCTGGGGCAAGGGTCAAGGAATGAGACTCAGGGGAGGTGGCATTTAAGGTTTGGACAAGGGGAAGTTTGGGGGAGGGAAAGGCACCTGGGAGGATAAAACAACGTCAGCAAGCACACAGAGATGAAAAATCATGCAGTACCCACAGGCACAGGAAGTCCGCCTGGCACCGTGCTAAGAGAGGAAATGCCATGCTGCTGACTGCCGGCGTCCCCCAGGGTATCTTGCACAAGGCTGGCACCTGGTAGGGGCCAACCAGCGTTTGCTGTATGAAAATCTATCAGAGAGTTGGCTGCATCCTTGTCTGGCTCCACTGGAAAACTCCAAACCCTCAAATCCAAACATTCCAGCAGCAACCTCCATTCCCCCTCTTGGTCCCCAGAAGTACAAGCTCATGGGAAGTGGGCTGATGGAAAAAGCCCTTTGTCAACCCACAAGCTGCCCAAGTGGCTCCTCCTTCCAGCAGCAGATGGGCCTTTACAGCACAGGCAGGACTCCTATAAAAGGGGAGCCCCTTAAATATTTACTGAGGGCTTGACTATGCCAGGTGTGGTATTGAACTAATTTATTAATAAAATGAATTTACTCTTCACCTCAACCTCATATGGCAGGCCTCATTATCATCACCATTTTACACATGTACAACTGGAGTGCAGGCAGGGAGCTTGCTCAAGGTCCCACGGCTATGAAGCGGCACTGCTGAGATGTGAATCTCCATCCTAGGCCACAGTCCACACCCCTCTCCACCACAATACACTGCCTCCAGGCAGGCAGGAACACTCAAAAAGCAGGTGATGCATGCAAAGGATAGGGCGTCAGAAATTGCAAACCCTCACTCTCATTTCTGCTCTCCTTAACCTGCTGTGTGACCTGAGATGCAGTGTTTAACCGTTAACCCTGTGCTGCCCAGGACGGCAGCCACTGGCCACCAGTGATGACTCCACATTTAAAATGCGACTGGTGTGAATTGACATGTGCTGTGAGTGTGAGATACATACCAGATTTCCAAGACTTCGGATGAAAAGAATATGAAAAAACTCATTAATACTTTTATAGTGTTGGTTACATGTTAAAATAATATTTGAGATATACTGATTTAAATAAGATTTATATTATTAAGATGAATTTTACCTGTTTCTCTTTACCTTAAAAAAAATCACATATGTGGCTTGTATTATATTGGACAGTCTGATATAACCTCTTTGAGCCCTGTTCCCCATCTACACAATGAAGTGATAGCTCTATTTTCTATCCCACCTTGCTAGTGATATGGTTTTGCTGCATCCCCACTCAAATCTCATCTTTTTTTTTTTCCAGTGCATTTAAGTTATATTTACAATGTAGTCTATTCAGTGTGCAATAACAATACATCTTTTTAATGTATATATCTTAATCTGAAATTATTGCTAAAAAAAAAAAAAGCTGATGATCATCTCAGCTTTCAGCGAGTCCTAATTTTTTGCTTGCAGACCCAATGAACTATAAATCAAATCTCATCTTAAATTGTAGTTCCCATAATCCCCAGATGTTGTGGGAGGGACCTGGTGGGAGGTAATTGAATCATGGGTTACCATGCTGCTGCTCTCATGATAGTGAGTGAGTTCTCATGAGATCTGATGGTTTCATAAGGGGATTTTCCCTCTTTGCTTAGCACTTCTCTCTCTTGCCACCTTGTGAAGAAGGATGTGTTTGCTTCCCCCTCTGCCATGACTGTAAGTTTCCTGAGGCCTCCCCAGCCATATGGAACTGTGAGTCAATTGAACATCTTTTCTTCATAAATTACCCAGTCTCAGGCAGTTCTTTATGGCAGTCTGAGAATGGATTAATACAGCTAGATTATTTCTAAAGTACCCAATACTATAAGAAGGTAAGGTGTTACTAGTATCAACTCCCCTTTGTCTTCTGAAGATTGGGGAGCTCCTGGATTTTTTTGGCGGGAGCCACAAATCTACTGCTTGGAAAGGCTGAGAGTGTTTCTGACCTGGTGCTTCATGGGAGACTGAACTCAAGGCTTTGCACATGAAAATCAGCCTGGGTCAAAGCAGGGGCAGGGGCTGAGGAGCTGTGAAGAATAGGCAGGATATCAGTCAGGAGGTATTTGGGATACTCAAGGCTTTGCCTCCAGAGAGAGGCCTCTCCTCCCAGGCTGTTCTGATTTCTATTGTGTTTGGCAATACCAGCAACAATTCTGAGTGGTCAGTGTGTGCCACTCACTTTACTGACACCATCTCCAGCTCTCATAAAGCTCTAATGCTAGTCTCCTTTTCAGATGGAGATATTTGAAAATCAGAAATTTTATATAATCTTCTTATAGTAAGTGGATGAACTGTGACTGAAACGGGTCTGCCATTGAAATCATGTGTTTTAAACATCCTTGCACCACGCTGTGCCTATAGATTGCCCACTTGCTGGGCACTCTACCATCAAGTGGGAAGGTGGGAAGCTGTGCAGAAAATGTCCAAGATTTCTCTAATGGCCACTTTCTAGGGTTCTGTCCACGTCAAAAAAAAACACCAAAAAACAGAAGAGAGACTTCTGGGAGGAATCATGGGAGAGGATGGAGGGCCCCTCAGAAAGCATCTAGGCCAGCGGCTGACAACCATGGCCACACATCAGCACACCTGGGAGCTTTAAAAAATGATGATACCTGCATCTCACCCCTAGACTCCAGTGTAATTGCTTTTGAAGGAAGCCTGGGTGTTTTTACAGGCTCCCCAGGTGATGTCAATGTGTAGTCAGGGTCAAGAGCCAGTGTTCTCGGATGAAGCCAAACACTTTAATATCCAGATGAGAAGACTGAAGGCCCAGAAGACACTAGCTGGGCCTTTGCTACTAGCCAGCTGTATGACCTCATCTTAACCTTTCCTTACTGTGCAATGAGGATGATGATGGGCCAAGACCCATTCTTAAGTATCTTTTAATGAGTCTGCTTATTGCAAAGGTTCAAACAATAAAGGGGGTTCTAATTACTCCCTTGGTTACCCTGAAAATTCCATTTTCTGGAGTGGCTTCTGCAATCATGTCATCTCGGACCAGACTTGTTTCTTCTCTGAACCACAAGGTCTCCATCGGTCAAATAAAGGTAATTCTACCTACATATGAGTGTCCTACATTATCGTGAGGATCATACACAATAATGTCAGTAGAAATTGCTTTGCCAATGTAGGCCAAATGTTAGTTACTTCTGGTGGTGGTATTCTACAAGGATTTAGGCCAACTGAGGACTGATGCTGAGGTATATGGAAGGTGGGGCAGACTGCATGACGTGATCATGGCTAAATCATATCTTTGTACCAGAAAGGGATCAAATAGTAGTGACTGATTGTGTTTAAGATAAAGGTGGCCAAGAGAAGACCACAAATGACTGACCTGCTGCTGGAGACATGGAATCTACTCTTGCCCTCCACTGTTGGCTCCGCCCGGTCCATTGTCCTAGCCGCCTTTCATTTCCTCAAAGAAGCCCAGCTCTTCCTACCTCTGAGCCTGTCCTAGGGCCCACAGTGTTAGGGGTTCCTCTCAGGAGCCCTGGGTATGCATCATGTCCATGAAGATGGCTGAGCTTCCAACACCCCTTCTTCTCATGGGGGAAGGGTAAGGCACAGAGAAGTGTGGTTCATTGGGGGCCAAATTGTAGTGAGAGGTGTGACTCCCCAAGTATGTTCATGTCTGAATCCCCAGAACCTGTGAATATGTTATCTTACGCTGCAAAAGAGATTTTGCAGATGTGATTAAAGTTAAGGCTCTTGAAGTGGGGACATTATCTTGGTAAGCCTGATGGAATCACGTGTCATTAATGTAATCACAGGCTTATAAGTGAAAGAAGGAGGCAGGAAAGTCAGAGTCAGAAGGAAATATGATGAAGGAAGCATAGGTGTAAAGGAAAGCTGGGAGAGGGAAACAGAGATCTGAAGATGGTATCCTTCTGGTTTTAAAGCTGGAGGCAGGGGCCATGAGCCAAGGAAGGTAAGCATCCTCAAGAAGCTGGGAAAGGTAGAGAAATGGACTCTTCCCAAAGCATCCAGAGGGAAAGCAGCTCTGACGACACCATGATTTTAGCCTAGTTAGACTCATTTCAGGCTTCTGACCTCCAGAGTTTTAAGTATAAATTTGTGCTGTTTTAAGCTTCTCAGTTTATAGTATTTTATCACAGCAGCCACAGTAAACGAATACAGCAGGAGAGCTTGGAGCACCAGAGAGGGGATGGGCTCTATCTCTCTAAGCCACTCACAGAGCTCCTCCTTCTGGAGTCTTAGTTCTTCATCTGCAAGGGGCTGAGTTCTTCATTGGTAGGTTCCTTCCATCCTTCACATTCCAGGATGCTATGAGTGTAGCCCATCACCCTCCCTCAGCCTGCAAACTTCTGCTGTGGGACAAACTGTTATTTCCCTAACACTTCCAAGTGGGTATAGCAGAATGATGGGAAAATTGGCTCTAGAGGCAGACAGACAGACCTGCATTTGTACCTAGCCTTTGCCACTTAATAGCTGTGTGACCTGGGCAAATTACTTCGCCTCTTGGAGCACTGGTGTCCCCATCTGGAAAACATGGATAATAATTTGTACTATATACAGTTGTGGGGTATTAAATTGGATCAGAGTGTAATGTGCTTAGTACTGGGCCAGGCACTTGGTGATGGTGATGGTTACAATTGTGTGCCAGGCTTGAGGAAGAGAGCATGAGAGACCCACTCACCCCTGTTGGCAATCCTGGCAAACTGTGCAGAGGTAGGCAAGGTGGAGATGACCAGCCTGGTGGGCCATGAGCTGAGGTTGTCATTACAAGCTGGGAGGGATGGTGCTTCTGGCTGGGGATATCTGACACTTGGCACTAAGTGGGGCTGGGAAGCTGGACCCTCTGCATTGGGCTTTTAGGGAAGATGGTGATCCTGAGTTGTGTGTGTATTGGAGCGGTCATTGAGTAGCCACTGGGACTAGCCAGGGTTGTTCATACTTACTCAAATGGGTCACTTGGGTCAGCTTTCTGCAGTTCTGGAGGGATCGGGATCCGTTTGTAGTACATCTCCCAGTCAAAGGCTCCCCGCATGGCATCCCCTGCCTGTGTCTCGTACCGAAAGTCGTCGTGGTCAATTACATCAATCATTGGGCACACAATGGTCTTGCGGTTCCGAGCAATGCGGTCTGAAGAAGCCAACAGATGCCTATCAGGTGAAGCAGGATGGGGGAGCAGCTAAGTGCATCATCCTGTTCTGCAGCTCACTTGTATTTTTAACATCTCTGAACCCTCAGTTTGACAATCCATGGATGGGAAGGGTGAGTGCAAGCTTTAAGCAAAAGGGACCAGAATGGGGCTCTCATCTCAGTTCTTTTACTCTCAGTGCAGGCCTGAGGCAGCTGCACAAATAATATCTTCAAACCCCAGTGTTCTCCTCTGTACAATGGATTAAGAAGAGGCTCTGCCTCACAGGTCGTGAGGACTGGACACAGGATGTCTGAAAATGCTTGGCATATATGCCTTATTATTAGCATAATGAGCAGTGCCACTATGGACAAAGATTGATTTCCTTCTGGGAAGGTCCCTGTTCCAGTCCTGCAAGGCTCCTCATTCAGAGTCCTGAGCTTGGCTCATGGCCCAAAGCAGTAGGCACCCCAGCACTTTCCTTCATAGCAGACTGCCTGCCCCTGAGCTCACTGGCACCCCAGGCTGTAATCAGTGAGCAACTGGACCTCCTTGCAGGAATTCAGCTCAACTTTTTCAACCATCGGAACTATGGATGGGGGAATGACCTGCACCAGGGAGTCTGAGTTCCTCAAGACTGGAGGTATGTAAGCAAAGCCTGGTGGACCATGAACCTGCAGAAATACCATAGGCTGGGTGATTCCAAAGGTAAATGGGGTCCTCACCTAGATGGCTTTATGGTCCTTTTCAGGCCTGAGAGAAGCTGATTCTGTAAAATTGAGTCTCTGTCCAACCAACCAACATAATTCCAGCTTTGGTTTGCTCTGCCCTTCTTCCTTGTGCCAAGAAGCCCTGACCACAGCCGGGGGCTACCAGTGAGCTACTGGGTCAGACAATCTGCTGTGGGGGACAAGTGGGCTGTGCTCAGTGCCTGGCTGCTTTGGGCCATAAGTCAAATTCAAGGCTTAGAAATGGAAGCCTGGTAGGGCCAGGCAGCCAGCAGCTGCCTGGGGCCTAAGGTTCCTTCGTCAAGTGACTGCAGATTTTTCTAGGAGAGAAAACAGTATTTTTGCCTTTTTTCTAAACTGCAAGGCATGATCCATAGGTGGGGTCATGAAATTGGTTGTACGTGTGTTTCTAATGAACCCAAAAACAATACTAAATATCAGGCTGCATTCCAGGTGATAAGGGTTACTGTGACAGGTGATGCTCTTTCAGGAACATGCTTCAGTCATACTGCATGAGCGTGTACATCTGTGTACCGGATGGAGCTGCCCAAGGTGTTTCTTACTGGGACACATGGTTTAAAGAGTTTGAGAAATACTGTTTTTGGCAGTGTACTCCTACAGGTGGATCAGGGGCCATCAGTGCCAGATGGACCTGGGAGTGTATTTAAAAAACTCACGGCTGGGCGCGGTGGCTCACGCCTGTAATCCCAGCACTTTGGGAGGCCGAGGCGGGTGGATCACGAGGTCAAGAGATCGAGACCATCCTGGTCAACACGGTGAAACCCCGTCTCTACTAAAACTACAAAAAATTAGCTGGGCATGGTGGCACGTGCCTGTAATCCCAGCTACTCAGGAGGCTGAGGCAGGAGAATTGCCTGAACCCAGGAAGCGGAGGCTGCGGTGAGCCGAGATCGCGCCATTGCACTCCAGCCTGGGTAACAAGAACGAAACTCCGTCTCAAAAAAAAAAAGAAAACAAAACAAAACAAAACAAAAAAAACTCATGTGCCTGCCCTGACCCAAACCCACTGAATCAGAATCTCTGGAGGTTGACTTGCATTTCCTGGTGGACAGATTTCCTGGGGATTCTCAATGAAGCTTAAGAATCTCCTCCAGGGAAAGATCTAGAGTAGGGCCTTCCATTGAATCATTCATGGCCAATCAGCAGACTTCACATCCAAGGAGGGCTGGGGCTGAGGACATAGTGGTCTGCTGGATGACTGTGGGAGGCATGAGGTCAAGGTAGCTTTGGAAGGCAGTGTTCTAAGGCACTGTGTCCACGTGGGGACAGAATGCCTAGGTTCAAATCTTGGTTTTGTCACCTCTTAGCAGTATAACCTTGGATAGGACTATCTGATGTCTCTGAGCCTCCGTTTCCTTGCTGACAAAGGGGAGGAAGACAGCACCTATCTCAGGGGTCTCTGCGAGGTCTGAGTGTGATGATGGAGCCACGGTGCTCAGTGCATCCTCTGGCACACAGTCAGCACTCAGCGACGCTCTCCGTGACCACGATTACTAAGGGCAGCTAAGAAGCAGGAGTGGAAGGCTGAGCATCTCTCTTACTCCTTGCCTCTCAGTTTTCTTGTTTGCAAACAGTGGATAATAAAGCCTGGTCTGCCTGCTTTACCACGTAATGGTCAAATTTAAATGTCAGTGTGGCTGAAAAAGCAAAGGGGTTATTAGAGCCGTGTTAATGATGATGATGATCAACAGTGGCTTTCCACTGGGGGGCTGAGTCCTTCTCAGGCTCAGAAATGTGTGTTCTCTGAAGGAGACAGAGTGAGCTATGCATGGAGGTGTTAATGGTTTCACAGACAAAAGCCATGATGTGCTGTCAGCTGCTGATATTAGCAGGGACAGACTTTTAAATCTACACCACTGGTTCACATTTCTATTGGAAAAAAAAAAAAAAAAAAAAAAAAAAAAACCCAAAAAAGGAAAAAAAAAAAACCAACAAGGGGATGTTTCTTCCATGTATGTCTGCAGATGATGAGAACTGCCCTCATATATTTCCATAGAAACAGAGTTAAGGGCTATTTAGATACAAGCTCAGCTTCTAGCCCACCACTTCGTTCTCTTTATGAGTCACTGAATGACCCTACAAATTGGCTGTTCCTCCAGGACTATAAATTAGGCAATTTACAGTGAGGTTTTTTTCTTTTTTTTTTTCTTTCAGTAATGAGAGGCAAATGCAGAATATCTCTTGGTTTAATTAAATAGTTTACCAGAAATTCTGAGTTATTTCCTTTTCCTAGCCCAGTGAGATCCTGGACCCTTGGGGTCAGAAGCACAGAATCTAATAAGAAAGTTCCTTGCTGATCTGGGTTACAGATTTGCAGGATTATCTTTCTGTGTGTTTGTGTGGGTTCTGCTTTCTGTTCTCACCCCTGAATGGTGCATTCCATAACCAGTGCTTCTCAAAGTGTGGTCCCTGGACCAGTAGCACTGGCCTCACTGGGAGCTGGTTAGACATGCAACTTGCGAGGCTCCAGCCCGGGCCTCCTGGATCAGAAATTCTGGATAGGGACTGTGTTTTCACAGTCTTTCAGGTGCTTCTGACGCATGCTCAAGTTTGCCCTCAACTTCAATCCTCTTTGCTCCCTAAGCTTTCTGTAGTGGAGAGCTTACCCATCTCTTCTTAAGGAGTTCATTTTTTGCTCCAGAATGATAACTCTTCCCCAGTCTGCCTCCAGCCCTGGCTGTATCCCTCACCTGACTCCCAGTCTCAATGGGACAGTTCCTCTTGCGCGTCTGCCTGTCGGGACCAGTACACTGCCTTCATCAAAACCCAACTCCTCAAGATTCAGGCCTCGTTCCTCAAACAGCTATGAGGCATGTTCCACCCAAACTCCAGTCCTCCCATCTCCCTGCTGTCTGCAGGCTGTGGTAGAGGGCTCCTGGATCATGCTGCCCTCTCTACAGCCCTTCTCTGATAGCTGTCAGAAACTCTTGTCTGAGAGGAAGTGAATACAGGGAGGCAGTGTAGAGCTGTGACGGAGAAGACTTTGGAGCCCGACAGATGGTAGCTTTGACACTTACAGCCCAAGGGGACAAGCGAGTCACTGAATATCTCAGAACCTTAGTTTCTTTGACTAGGTAAGGGGTATGCTTTTGACCTTGCATGGTTTTGTGAAGACTAGAGATAACGCTTATAACTGCCTGGCTCACAGTGGCAGCAGTCTATGGCAACTTTTCTAAGCTGACACGATGATGTCTCCCACAGTTTGGCTATTAACAGCAGACAGCATGGGCTTGCTTTGCAATAAAATGAAGTAATCTGAGGGAAGCAGTCATGTCATTAGATGCTCATGTGCTGTGTGACTTTGGGAAAGTCACTTCCCCTCTCTGATTCTTAACTTCTCTGTGAAATGAAGGGACAGGACTGGCTGGATGTTAATTTTAAGCACTCCTGAACTTCTGAATCCCTTATGACACCAGGCATTGTGCTGGGGGCATCTCGAGCAGGCAAGGGAGGCCTCATGGATGGCTCCCTGCAGCAGGAGGGGCCACTGGCACTGGCTCATTGCAGTTTGCCTCCCTCCAAGTGGGAGGGGCTGTCCTACCGAGTAAGGGGGGAAGCCAGTTGACATTGGCTTCACAGTGTGAATCCAAGAATGTGATGACATCCCCAGTTGCCACTGAGGCCCCCAGCATTCGGGTCCTTATCAGCCCTTCCCGTTTCTTGGTTCGAAGAATCCTCACGCTGGGGAAAAGGGCCATGTAGTCTTCAAGTGGCTTCTTCAGGTGCTCTACAAGACAGAAGAGGACAGATGGGTGAGAACAGGTGCTTAGTAGTAATTCTTGTCACGTCTCCTTCACATGTGAACTGCACTTCACAGTCTAGATGCAGCCTTCCTGTACACTGCCTCACTAGACCTTTCAGACAGGGTGAAGAAGGGCAGGGATCATCACGTGTGTACTATAGATGGAGAAATTAAGGCTCAAAGAGGTCCGACGATGGTGCCCAGACCTGGAACAGAGAGATCTTCCGTCCAAGGGTGTAAGTATTTTTGGTTTATGCCTTACTGGGACCCATTCCCTCATCTTCTGGTAACAATATTTTTCTTTTTCTTTGGGACACTGCCCCTTCCTTTCCCAGTCCATCAGACTTTGGTGGGGCTGACTCCATTCCCTGGGGAATGATGGACCAGTCAGGGCATTCCATTCCCTTGGCCACGGTGATTGTTTCAGGGATGGCCATGTGGCCTTGGTAGGTCCAAATAATGGGTGCTGAGAATGTTTTCAGGATTATTGAAAAAGGAGGCCCCTTCCTTTTGCTAGTTGGTTGGCCATAAGTTTGGAGTCACTAATGACATCTTTGGTGAAATGAGGTGATGAGAGGTGGTAGGGGAATATATTGAGACTAAAGCCAACCTATAAAAATAAGAGTCAAGGTATGGAGAGAGAGAGACATTGTCCTGATGACATTTTAGTTCCCTAGACCCACGTGCCTGAAGTAGACAGACTCCTACATGCTCTTATTACACAAGACAGCAAATTCCTCTCCTTGCTTATCCTAATGTGGGTTGGATTTCTGCCCCAAGCCTGGATAAGTTGTTTTGAATAAATATCAAAGACAGTCGCTTTCTCCTAAAAGTCTCAGCCTCAGCACTGTTGTCTCTTGATTTTAATCAGGCTTGGGGTCCTTTATGAAGACTCTAGAATGGCTGCAAAAGAAACCTACAGCATATATCATACTTAATGATGAAATGTGGGATGCTTTCCTCCTGTGATTGGGAGAAAGCTGTATGCTTTCACAACATCCATTCAATATTATACTAGAATTCTTAGCTAGTGTAATTGGTAAGAAAAAGAAAAGGCATAAGAATTGGACATACAGCCAGTAAATTCCTGGGTCTGCGGTGGAAACATGATGGTTTCCTTCTTCTAGCTGCGTTTCCCCAGTCTCTAACAATCGTATACTACCATCTTGATTTTTGCTGCATTCATCTACTTTACTACAATTTACTTAGTTGTTTTAAAAATCAACTCACTTTTAAAAATTAAACTTTTCATTAAATTTATTTTAAAAGGAAACTTTAAACACAATAGATGAAAAAAATGGTATCATTTCTAATAAAGAGCTAATAAATAAAAATCTCCACCAAATAAAAATTTGTTGTAAGATTTTTTATTTCTACCAGATACTCCTGCCTCTCCACAACTATGAGCTTATGGGCTGCCCTCTCTTTGTCAAGCAGCGAGCTATGGAAAACCATTTGAGGTGATCAAAAGAATGAAAGAGAATTGAAAAGAGAAAGCTTTCTCTCTGCATTATCCAGTGTTACTTAATGCAAAGTCTCTGAACTACCTGTAATCATCTTAGGTATGACTTAAAATCACTTTTGGGGCAGGCACTGTGCCTATAACCCCAGCACTTCAGGAGGCTGAGGTGGGGGGATTGCTTGAACTGGGGAGATTGAGGCTGCAGTGAGCCATGATTGAGCCACTGCACTCCAGCCTGGATGACAGAATGAGACCCTGTGTCAATGAATAAATAAATGAATGAATGAAAAAATGACTTCTGTGCTGGTACACTTAGGGAAACACTGCTTCCAGCACTTTGATTTTGGTCACCAGGAACTTCATTGAAATGAAGCGTGTTTCTTGTAGGCAGAAGAAATTAGAATACAGAGAAAAGACGATCTACATACATACAACCAGAGGCTGTACGGCTAAAAAATGTTCCAGGTCTCCTCTTGCTTGTATACAAAGATTAATATGGCTTCTCTCGCCCTTTCCCACTTCTCTTTGGAACAGTGACTCTGTGGAAAGCAGAAATCAATTTGCCCTAATTGAGGGACTAAATCTTTCCAAAAGAGACTTTCTTGGGCAACAAGATAAGGTAGCAAGAGGCATGATCACATTCCAAATATGCTGCTGTTCGGGCAGGAACACTATCTTCAAAAAAAGAAAAAATCCATAATCATTGTCTGTGACCACTGCTTCTTCTTGGCTGGGTTCAACCAGTAGGTCATTACAACGAGAATGAGATAATCTCCGTACCACACACCACTACTCCCATCAGAGGAAGAAATATCACCCCAGCCGGCTCTAATCACGGAGGGCCCCGCTTGGGCAGAGCCCCTTCGCTAAATCACCCCGAATACAGATGGCCACAGCCATTACGGAGTGACCAATTAAGGCCTTCTGACAGCTTGTGGTAAAGTCAGAGCAATTATTTGGGGGCAATTATGCTCCTCCTGTCCTTATTAGATGGTGCATTTACACAAAATCAGGGCCGTTGCCCTGTTTTACCACCCTGTCTTCCTGGATGAGGACATTTCATAAAGTCAGAGTTTTAGAGCTGGGAGGACTTTAAATGAAGATGATGATAATTATGATGACAATTACAGGGAACAATTACTGAGCCCCTGATCACATACATTATCTCTGATACCCACAGCACCAGCACCACAGACTGGGTACTACAGAAGAAGATACCAAGGCTCAGAGTGGGTGATGTGACCTGCCCAAGGAACATAGTTTATAAATGATGATGCCACGGTCTAAGACACCCTGCCTGATTGTAAAAGAGCAGGCTCTTTCTACTGCACCAAACCTCATGTCTGCCTTGTTTTAGTCAGTTTCTTCACTCTCCCCAGAAGAGCACAGAGAGCCAGAGAAGTTAAATGTCTTACTTAGACTCATATAGTGGGTCCTTGACACAGAAGGTTTCTAACCTAGCTCAGAGCTTTTTCCAGCCTCAGATTTCCCCCAGCTTCATAAATCCTAAGGCAGGGCTGACAACCTGGCTTCACCAAAGTGCCTACACTGATGGGTTTGGAATGGACACCTAAAGCTCTGTTAAGAAAGATTTTGAAGATCTATCCTGGCTCAGTACGAAATCGCCAGGACTGAGAAGAGATGCCTCAGCATCTGCCACAGAGTCCCTAATGCCACATACTCATCATTCCTATTCAAGGGGCTGCCCTGATTGTAAACAGCACAGAAATGTTTTTGTCTTTATTACCCCTAATTTAATAATGACTCAGAATCATCCAAACGACACTGTGGCTGATTCTGAAGGTGGGAGCGCCCATCATTGTAAAGCTTTACGCAGGTGTTAGATGAACACTTATCAGAGAGCTGACAGATGGGTTCTGCGGCATATGCATCTGGTGCCCCAACCACATCCCCCTCTGCATTTGGTCTCATGCCTGCCTGCCTGCCACCTGCCAGCATCTGCCATTCTGCCTCAGGGACTGCCTAGCTCCATGTATCGGACCTCGCCCAAGAACCCCTGAGCTCCCTCGCCCCTTGGGTGGGATGACCCTGAGCACATGCTCCATGCTGGCTCCCAGAATTCCCAGTGGACCATGCAGAGCTGCCCGCAGTGCTGCCTGTCACAGCCACTCTTCCTGGTGCCCCGCCTTTCCGTTCTCACTTCCCTACTTCTTTCCTGATATTTCCTGGCATCTCCTCCCAAATAAACTATTTGCACTGTCCCAGGATCTGCTTCAGAAAACCTAGACTCAGATTCCAAGTAGCAGGCATGACTTAGAAGATCTCCAAAACTGAATGCGTGATTCCATGACACTCACAGTGATAACTTGAGCACAGCAACATGCAGTGCTTTGGTGCCTACTTTCTCCAAACAATGGCTAACACGTTTTTAGCACTTACTTGAACCACAGTCCCAGAAGCTTTACACCTGTTTAATCCTTTAACATTCACAAAAACTCTATGAAGCTGGTCATTAATTAGTACCCTCATTTTGCTGATGAGGAAACTGGAGGCACAAAGAAGTTAAGTAACTTTTCCAAGGTCCACATAGTAAGTGACAGGATGAAAACCCAGGCAATCTGGCTCCAGGGCCTGTAGTTTTCCTTGTTAAACTTTCAACATTACGAATAACTGCAAACATATTTTTAAAAAGTAGAATAGAATGATGAACATCCCATGGACCCAACCTTAATCCTGGTGTCTCTTGTTTCATCTGTCCCTGCCCATGGGATGATTCGGAAGCAAATGGAGTCTGTACTTGTAACCATCAAGCAGTAAGAGAAGAGCCCAGGAGATTAACGGAGAAGGATATAACAACTTCAACTCGTATAACTCTTGTTCCTCTCCCAAGAACACTCCCAGGAAGTTATCTCAATGTTGGGCAGGCAGTATCTTCTCAGGAAATACTTGATTATCCTCCTGCACCCCTCAGAGCCGATGCAAGGAGGATGGGGCAGGCAGGTAACATCACTTCTGATATTACTGGAAACAGACCTAGGGAAGGGAAAGCCTTGCCCCAACTCTTTCAGCTGGTGAGGTCTGAGTGAGGTTAGAACTCAGGCCCCACACTTCCCACAATCCTTTCTCTATATGCTGCCCTGAGTGCGTGTGTGTGTGCATGCATGCACACACACACACACACACACACACAGACACTGTGGCGTGTCTGGGGCCTGTGGCTCTCTGAGTTCTTGTCTTAAAGTGGACACACACACACACACACACACACACACACACACACACACTATGGTGCGTCTGGGGCCTGTGGCTCTCTGAGTTGTCTTAAAGTGGACACACACACACACACACACACACACACACGCACACTGCGGCGTGTCTGGGGCCTGTGGCTCTCTGAGCTCCTGTCTTAAATTGGAGCCTCTCCCTCCCAACTGGTCCGAAGGGCTCTTAGGATTCCAATGATGGTTCTACCAGGTGGGTTGTGGCACAAGGAGGAGTTATTGTGGCTTGAGTCATGTCCTCCCAAAAGATACATTGAAGTCCTAACCCCTGGTAGTTGTGG